ATGTGTGTGCGGGGAGTATGAGAGATGTGCGGAATTTGTTTTGAACGAAAATATGAAAAACAATTTTCTAAGCATCCAACCTTTTTTGATCTTGGTCTTACAGCGTATCTGAGCCGGCGCCATATGAAAAATTCCTCACATCTTAAGCAATATTTAAGTTTTTATTTTGCAGAATAACTTAATTTCATGTTTCAGCCTCGCCAATGGTCGTCAAAGCACTTTTTCTCCTAATTACTCTGAATCCATTGTCAGCTGAACGTCAAGTGATTCCGATGGAAAAGCCTCCTGATCTCCTTCCCAGTAAACCCCTCCTTATCCCGCAATCCAACCTCGGCCAAGTACTACCCGATTGGCCACCCTCAACCACTCCTTTCGCAGCCTTCAACCCCTTCCCAGTCCCACCGGAAAACCTCACGCCCCTGCCTTTCACGCCATTCAGTCCGTACTCAAATCACGTTCAAAACTATGCACTTCCACCTGGCGCGGGAAATGCAGCAATTGCTGCCGCACCAGCGCCACTGCTGATTCCTTCGTCGTTGGTATTGCCAGCTCCGACCTGGCCCCCTCCGATCACATTGCCTCCAGTCTATGAAACCATTAGAGGGACCACACTGAAGCCGATTAACATCGATCCAGAGGCTATTATGGGCGTGGTGAGTTACCATTCCGGCTTATTTTTGAAGTTACCCACCTTACGTCTCTCCAAAGAATGTATCAGATTTTGGCTTGTTTAAGAAATTCATCGCTTTTCCAGCCAGAAATCATCCAACACTGGGGATATCCGGTTGAAGAGCATCAAGTGATAACTGCAGATGGCTACATTCTTACTCTACATCGTATACCGCATGGAAGAAGTGAGTCTGTAGAGGCGAAAAATATTCAAAAAAAAATGTAGACTTTTTACTTGGTTCTTTGACAAACAGACAAACCAAAATGTTTCAGAAAATGCAAATTCTACTTCTGTTCGGCCGGTGATATTTCTCCAGCATGGTCTGTTATGCACTAGCTCAATCTGGCTACTCAATCTGCCACATCAGTCAGCTGGTAAGTGCGACTTTAGACATTTTACTTATTTCTCATTGCTATCGTAAAATTGAGTGTACTGAAAGCATTGATTATTCCCATCAGAAACTCTCAATGAACAGAGAAAATTTTGAGCGGTTTGACGCTGATTTTTTTCTTTCGAGCTACTATGCTCTTAAAGTGGTTTTCGTAAAATTTCATTCTATACTTTTGAAGGATATTTGCGAACGTTAGGATGAAGCATCATTCTACTATGAATAAATTTTTCATTTCACCAGCTGGCTCCTGAGGATTTTTCTTGAATTTTTTCTAA